TTTAAAATCATGTCTCAAAATTGAAAATGATTATTGTTTTAAAATAACCAACTTATTTCAAATATAAAAGATAAAGGACAAAAACATTTTAACATTTAAAAGACCAAAATAAATTTTTAAAAAATAAGATAAAGGATACAAATATAATTTAGCTTAAATTTTAAAAAATAATAAAGACTTGTTAAAATTATATGTTACCATTTACCTAATATTATTAGATTATAATTTAAAGGTGTAAAATTGGACAAAAAAAAATTAAATAGAGTAGATATATTACTATCAAATATGTAGTGTGATTGATGTGATGTTCTTTTAACTTAATTAATAATCTAAAGTTTAAATTAAGAATATATGATTATGTTAATTATTCGAAGAGTGAATTTTATTATTCATAATAATCTTATATAATTTAATCATATTTATTTTATACAGATGACACATGTGATATAAAAGAGATATCATTTTTTGGTGTCTATTTTTCTTTTAAACAAATTTATCCCTAATTTATACATTTTTTTATGATTATCTCCTAATTTACCTACTGTCCTTTGTTAAATTGCTTGCAATTACTTTTTCTTTCTCCCTCAAAAAGATATATTTTTTAAAATAATATAAAGATACAAAAAAAACTTCTTTTTCCAATATTACCAAGTATCTAATAAGAACATTCACAAAAAATATAAAATAAAAGGAATGTTAACAACAATTTTTTTTAACACTATCATTAAATGAAATTTATTGGAAACCATAACTTATATTGGTCTCACATCTTATTTACTTGTGTTTTCTCTCAATTTAGTAGTAATATTTATCAAAATTTATAACTTTTAATAAATTTCAATTACTACTAAAGAGAGTATTAAAAAGTTAGTGTAAAAAAAAATCACTCAACATTTTGATAAAGTAATAGACGCATTTAAGAATTAAGAACTAAAGAATCTTAACATCTTTCACGCATTTACCTAAAACTTTAAGATAATATTTACTTTATTCCACACTTTAACATATAAGTGAGCTTGTTTAATGTTACACATAGTGAATCTTCATTCACATTCAAGAGAACTCAAAATCCTGAACAATGAAGTGACTTCACTTGAAGAGTGAAGTAGCTTTAAGGATAACTTTTGACCGGATAACCGCAGATAATGTTCTCTAGACAAAACATTTCCTATGTACTCCACAACCATAAAAAAAGAAAATGAATCATAACTTTATTATAAAGATGTTTTGAAAATCATTTTCCTAAATAAATTCAGGTTTCGACATGTTTTTATAACCATTTATTATTAAGATAATAAAATAATGTAACATATATATGTGAAGTGGAAGCTCATGAACCTGTAGCCTCTTTATCCTTTTGTAGCAAACCAATTACCAAAAACAAAATTGCAACTTTGTGAATCATACATACAAAAGTTGACTATTCTAATATTCTTTGAATTCCATGAACCATTTTTTTTTTTAGTTTTATAGAAAAGTCATGTGATAATATATTTTAAAATTTAAGAGGAACATGAGATATTCTAAATGTCTAACAATATGCAAATCTTTGATTTCTTGGTATTTATTTGAAGCATCATTTGTTACATATATATAAAATATACAATTCTTGTACGAAATTCATTATAATTCCGTTTCTTGCATTTTTGGAAATGCACTGTTTCCTTTCATGTAGTTTGAAAATTTTCTTATTTTTAATCTGAACTATAATGTAGAGCATGATGAATAGTTTCATTATAGTTCCGTTTCTAAGATGCAATAAATGTATAAACTTATATTAATTATTTTTCACTCTATGAATACCTAATTGAATTATAGTTACATAAATTAAGACATTAAAATAATTATCATAGGTTCATGGTACTAACTTCCGCCCTTATTAATTATTTGTTCATCAATTTGTTTATTTTTTAAAATTAATTATAGTTTTGACATTTGAAGAATGTCTAAAAATTATATTTTCACTTTTAATATAATATTAACTTTTTTCCTAGTTTTTTTTTCCATAAATTTTTTTCATTATCATAATTAACATTAATGTATTTATTGAAAGAGTGAAACTATTTTAATATAATTGTATAAAACATGATATATTTATTGTTATTCTTAATTTGTGCATAAAAAATTTAATTGCAGAAGATTAAAAGATTAGTGATGAAAATGAGATAAAGAATAAGATATTTTCATGTCACCTATCCTATTTATTGTAAGCATCCATTAATTTTTAATATATCTACCAATACCCACAAGTATCATGAATATTTGATAAAAAAAATTAAAATTAAAATTAAAATATAAAAAATATAATAAAACACAATATGAGTAATTTTAAATGGTATATTTATATGAAAAATAATTTTGTAATATATATTTGCAGTAAAAAATAATAATTATGATACCTATATTTAGTATAAAAATAAATTAAATCAAATTATCTTATATATAATTAAAACTATTTTTAACATTTTTAAAATATGAATATTCGCAAGTAAAATATTTACTATTTTTTCCATCTCATTATTAAGTAAATATTTATTTAAATTTAGAACCACTTTTAACATCATTCCTTTGAATGTTTAAAAATGTGTAAAATAAGATTTTACTTTTCTCTTTTCTCAAATTTGACGAGTCTAGTGTTTATTTTAAAGTTTTTTAATTCACACCCCCTTGATGAAAAGCCATATTTTTTCATGAAACGTTATAATAGTTGTTGATGGCTAGAAGTTATAATAGTTTAACACCTTATAAATCCACTCAATTAATTATAGGTTATATTTTAAGGCATAATTATTGAAAAAGTTAAAATAAAAATTTATCCTTTTGTGTATAATTATCACAGTCCATTCATATCCAAAAGTTAAATCTTTTCAAATTACATCCTTTCATGAAAATTTACAATAGTTTAGTTCATTATGAACATTTAATCATAGGTTATATACCACTTAAATATGTTATACTTGAAAAAAAAAAACACCATTAAAGTATTCTCTAATATTCATTAATAAGAAGATGAACATCTCAAACTACATCAAAATACTATTAAACCATGATTCCTATCAATAACAAAATTGCTATTAAATCAATAAAAAATCACATTTTAAAAAATAAAGTTCTAATGATTTATTTGCAATTTTATAATTTTGATATCAATCAACTATTGTATTATCGGAAACTAAACATTTATTATTTTCCCATGCTATTTCTCTGTGCACATGTTTAAATATAGGATAATCATATTATATAACAGAAGTTTTGCATTACAAGAGATAGCCGGAGTATTATCTAAAACACATTTATACTCTTTTTTTATATTATTTTTTTATAGTTATCAAAAAGTAATACAAATAAAAAACCCTTAAATTCAGAAAACAATTAGTTTAATTAAAAAAATATTAATTTAATGATAATTTATATTTTATTAGTAAGTTGAGGTATTTTATGTCTTTAATAAAAATAAAATAAAAATAAATATTGAGTAATAAATATATATTAATGATTAGTCCATTAATTTTAAGGTCTTCATTTTAATAAAAAAATATTATTTTTTCAAATTTTTTAAAATAAAAAAATATAATAATCAACAAAATTTGGAGAACAAAATGATTATTAAAATATATATATATATATAT